ACAGCCCAGGTGGTGGCAACTTGTTTCAGCCCCATGGTACTGGTGGGGACCCATGTGCAAATCCCTGACCCCATGCACCTTGTGCCTGCTCTGGGCTTGCTCGCCCAGGCTCAGCAGCAGCAGCGCAGGACAGAAGCTGCTGCTCAGTGTGGGGGGAAGTGGCTCCTCCCCCTTGCCACTGCTGGAGCTTTCTGGTGTAGCCACCCAGACCCTGCACTGTGCTGGGCTGCCCTGCATCTGCTCTTTGCTGCCACCTCTGCCCCGCCGGGGAACCCAGAGGTAGCGGTGACATGATGTAGACACAGGGCAGCCGGATACAGGCTCCAGGAGGCTACACTAGGAAATGCTGGCAGCAGGAGGGCGAGGGGCCACTTTTTCCCCGCGCTGAGCAGCAGATTCTGTCCCATGGAGAGATGTGGGTTTTCCGGAAAAATTTCCAATGCCCTAAATAGAGCATGATCTGATTTAGCGTGTTTATTTTACTTATATTTAGTAAAAAAAAAAAAAACCTAAAAAAAGTACCATGTTATGTCCCAATAGCCAAAAGTATTTGAACTGAAATATTTGATTACAAAAAAATTAAATACAGCACACAACGTAGTTTAAACGCTATATTCAAACAAATTCAAAGCTTTATGTGGAAAGAAATTATTTTTATTGGAATACTTGTAAAAATGTAAAGACAATACACAATAGCACATACTTTCCTTACATTGTGTTTAAATTTAAGAAAAAAATGAAGGCACTGAAAACTGCTGACACACTAATTTTAGCACACCTAAAGAACTGTGCATAATGCACTGTGGTTGTCCACTCATCTACTTCAACAGAGTTTAACTCTCTTCCATTAATGTCATTGCAGCACCTCCAGTTTCACTGTCACTATCTGTAGAATCACTTGCACTACTTATTAGTTCCATTTCAGAATCAGATTGAGGCAAATCTGATTCAGAACCAGAGATGTGGGACGGAAAATTTTCCACCCCACATCTCTGGTCCCATGCTGTTGCTGCTGAGCCTGGGTGGGAAAAGGCCGAAGTGGGTGTGGGGCACGCAGGGTCAGGGCTATATGTGTAGATCCCTGACAGTACTGCAAGGCTAGGGCCGGTGACGGTGACAGCCAGAAGGAGCCACCGCCACCTGGGCTGCCTAGAAAGGCAGCCCCACTGCAGAGCCACCCAAGTCCTGTTGCGTGCCCAGGGAGTGGCAGAATACGCCATGGGCAGGGGGTGCAGAGCAGGCAGGATCCAGGCTATATGCCTGGGTTCCAGCTAATCTGCTCCAACAGGGGGTGAGCCCAGAACAGGCGTGGGGTGTGCTGGGGCTGCATGCTGTTGGAGTGGTGGGCAAGCATGGGGCCTGAACAGCTTAGG